TTAGAAAAAGTGAATATTATCATTTTACTTAAGTCTAATTTAGTAGGCCGCTACCTTTTTCGGCGCAGATTTATGACAAACGCCCACATGATTGTCTTGTGACTTTTCAAATTATTTTGTGTGTGGTCTCTTGATGTGTGGATGAGTACCTAATAGGATTTCTTTTCTTTCTTTTTTATTTGTTTTTAGTATGTAAGCAAGATTGTTTAAACGATTATTATTTCGATACTTAATTACAATTGTTCACAAATAACAGTTTAATGCACAATTCCTATTCCACGTATTGTGTGCGTATCAAATGATCAGATCTCCCCTTTTAATAAAACACACCTACATAATGCATGTTTTTTACTACTTAGTTAACAGTCAGTTATTCGGGATGAATAAATGGTGACGTCACGAAGGCGCGCCGCCCCTGGATCAAAGATCGTTTCGCTTGAACACACCACTATGCGTGCGCGCAACTGCTGTAGGGCTGCCGTTTAGTAAAAAATATCGACTACATAAACAGAAGTGAAGTGTAGAATAGAATATTAAATAAGTGCTTCCTGTTTATAGAAAATAATAAGACTGTCGATATTTATTTCCATAACAAATAGTAAAAAAAGGTATAAATAACATGAATTAGGTACGAAAACATTTACTAGCCTATTTTCGCTTACTACATACTGTCACAAGAGTTCAAAGGAAATGTTACACCGAAGTTTTACCCAAATTTTATATCTTGAGGCTTTATCTTATTCTCGAAAAACTTATGACGCCGTCTCAAAGACAAAGTTTCTCGGAGTTAAGAGATAAGGAAAATATGTTCGTTACTTCCCCTTTCCTTGTTTCCCTTACTCACAACTCAAGTATGCGTAAACCTATTGATACAAAACACAATTCTCTACTAAGAAAATAATATTCAAATAGCTACAATAGGGCAAAGGGCAACTTTTCTCGTGGCCTTAAGAAGATGCGTACACAGATACCATTATAACAAGTCCACGACTATGACACACGCCACGCATAAGATATCGTATAATTTATATGTTTAGAAACTAAAGAATCAACGATATTATCTATATAAGTGGGACGAATTAAAATTCTGGTCACGATTTTAAGCATTTTCGTTGGTTCGCTTAGAGGGCCAGCCCTGTCTCGAAGCCAATGCCCTATGAGACAGAACTACATTGTGACGATTTACCACTCACTCACAATGAGCGAAAATAGTTCTTTCCGACACGCTCAAGCATGATATTCACAACTACACTCGAGTAATGTAAGCAATAAATCACTTAGCAGTTTGTTGTACTTAATTTTATTAAACAAAACATTTCAATGTAAACATTTCATTACTTAAATCAAAGACTATAAATTACATACTTACTTAATTAAGTAACAACAGTGTCAATAGGCGCTTGTTAATACAAATTAAACACTCCTATTCTAATTTAAAACATGGCACGTTAAATTAATTGCTTGTAAACTAACGGAACTCACGGCCTCATACATTGGATACTTCCATAATAAATTATACCGAAACAAAACTTGTTTTTATGCGTTTTAGTGATTTTTGTCTTCTAGCTAGAATAGTGCGTGCCATCTCATCATTTCGTCATAGGATCGATTTACACTAATAGTAAGAAAAGCACCGATAATATCGTTACTCAGTTACGGTGTCGATTATAACAATGGATGCAAGAAAATCGATTGTCACGCGTTGTTATTGTATAATAGTTTTATCATGCGATATGAAATGTTGCTTTAATTTGGTCGTTAAACTTTAGGTAAACATGATTTTAATGATCATTTTTGTGTAATATTTTTAAATGTTTTTAGTATCATTATGATAGTGTCTTTTAATAATACCTATATTCTTATTAGTCATGACGAAATAATACAGAAAGACTTCCTCAGCTACAATTAGATCAAAAGAAGATTTCTCATTGTATTCAAAACAGTGTTCCATATCAAGAACTTAAGCTCTTAAAGCGCAGGAAACTGCACATCACAACACTACAAAACGTCAAACATCGATCCACTAACAATAGGAGAGAGTCTACATTTGAATTTCGAGCACGAACTATTTTAAGATGGCGTCCCGAACGCACACGAGAGTTTACGACGATTCGCGAATTACGAGCCAATAAAGTGCGGTGTCGCCGACACGCCGCTACAGCCCTTAAAGCTTTTAATGTCCATTTAATTGATATAAGCTATACTTAATAATGCTATCGATTTCTTTTATAGCCAACTTTATTGCCAGCTTTTAATTATATGATCCAGTTTTATCTCCAAATTATTTACACATACTTGCATCACTCAAACGCGCTATAAACATAATTTCGTCTCACATTCAAGCATCAAGCACCTTGGTAACGCAACACGTCTACAGACTATATTTTCTGTCACCGAATTAACTGCGTGACTTCCACAAATGTGAGACAGTGACCGAGCCTTACTTGTTCCATAAATAACCCTCTTACTGGACAAAAATTCTGTTATAATTCACAATCAGACCTTTAATATCCCGATCCGACGGGTGGGCATTAATCAAATACATGGAACGGGTTCGTACAAAGGCAGGCAAGTTAAATAAAATAATAAATAAGCTGCATTCCGTGAGATTTATTTCGAAGAAAAAAGGCAGTGTAAGAGCCGGGTCATGTCGCAGTATGTTTATTGTCCACACCGGTGTCGGCCCACAATGTACGGCTCTAATTAATGCTATACCTCGCTCTGAGAGATATATCGTGTCCATCCCTGTGTCTTTTTAAGTCACGATCCTCTTTTTCTAATCTCGAGATTAGTTTCTGACAATTTATTATTAAAAAAAAACACGGACAACATTAAAACATCTTTTTCTTCTAAATACTCTTATCAGATTAGTGCCCAATTACACAAAATAATGCAAATGAGATTGAAGTACTATATCCTGTATAGGACTCGATGTGATTGTTATCTTAAACCTATGGGAACATACGGTGGTTCCCAATAAAAAAGATGAGCTCTTACAGGTACAATACGACGATAGTCAAACCTCTCCGCGACAACAATACTGCAGAGAATAATGGAAGCCAGCTGACGGGAGGTGCCTTAACGCCCGTTGTCATGGCGACCGTACGAAGGGTGAACCTGCCTAACATATCACCGACCCCAACAAAAAACTGCCACGCTCGCCCCCTTCTGGCATTTGATTTTAGACTCTACCCCATAAAGCACAAGGATCTTTTAACGCATAGCCGGACATCTCTTACGACCTTTCACTATAATCGCATTATTGGGATACGTGTATTGTGTTTTGGGTTCCATCTTTGCTTTTTAAAATTAGAATGTCTGTTGCTGTCTCACTCTATCTCACGAACACTATTTATCCTTGCTCCTCTAACCGCACTTGTATAATTATTCCATTGTCTGTTTATGACATTTTAAACAGTTTTAAAGTTTTTGTTGAAATAAGCACCAACCATAAATGTTATTGCGGCTGTAAAAATGCAGTTTCGGTAATTTATGGGTCATGTAAACGAGGTATCAGAGTTTCTTGCGATTCTCTTGATTTATACAGTCACTGTATATTTTTTACTTTGTAATGAGCAAAGTGAAAAAGTTGTAAGATATTTAAATTTTTTATCACTGAACATAAATTCATGTTGTTACATAAAATATTAGGTTACTCCGTGCCCTCGTAAGGTATTAAATATTTAAAAGACGATTACTTTCATTCAAGCTTACTGTGGACTCAGTACGAAATTTACATTTTAATTAAACGATTCGTTTGTGTTTGATTAAGAAAATACCGATATTATCGTCATCGGAATTAAATAACGACTACAAACTTAATCGTATGCATTACAATACATTATGGAAAGTGCTTTTACAGAATTGTAATATGGGAATGATATAGGGCAAAGAAATTAAATGAACAAAATATTTGTAATAAATCAAATTAATAGATAATTATGGCACTCTGCACATAATATCTACGAATGATAAGAACTGATAAATAATTACTTCATTAAGGTTCGGAATACTTAATTCTATGCACAACAATTTAAAGTGTTTGTACACCAATTAAAATAACCCATTAGCAGTATCGTATCTGTTTCTTTTAAACCGATCAGGTAACTAAGGCCAGCCTACATGGCCGAGCATTCCGAGACACTGTTGGTCCGCTATCAATTTTATACACGGTGGGAAGGCTATTTATCTTACCTTATTTATTGGCTGACTCGAAAACCAGTCTCGGGACCCGATCGCTTTGTGGAACTTGGTATTTACCTGTCTATGTATACTCGACTTTACGACGCATATGTTGGATGAGAATTTGCCTTTCGTGAATTCTTAGGTATTACAATTAATGTTTTATAAACCGTTAAATGTTTAAAGAATTACGTATGAGAGTTTTACGACGGTAAAGGGTAAACTTTCACGATTTCTAAGAAAACGTCTTAACAGGAACGAAATAAAGGGACACCTTACAAAGAATTAGAAAGTTGCGCAACCCTTCTTTACGCATCCCTGAGTTTTTTGTAGCGATTTCTTTTTAGAAAGGACACTATTGTTCGCGGACCGTTTGCTTCTAACCCTTTCCGTTACTTTTTTGCTTCGTGGTGATATTGTTTTTACTTATTCTTATTGTAAATACAACAGTACGAGACTAACTTAGAACCCGCCTTAAAAAGACCCGAGAGGGCGCACGATTTCGACGCTCTGTGATTAATTTCCATCGAGGTTGGTCTCAGTAGCGGATAACTCTAAAATTAACTTTAGTACGCTATAAAATATTAATGAGCCATTAAAATCTAAAATGGTATAAAAGTGAAATTTAATGGTTTCTCTCGAAGCTTTTTGCGAATCGAAGCTGTTGGAACGTGATATATGATGCTATAAATCGATTTTAAAAACTCCGATTCCACCGTTACATTTAATTTATTTCAGATTAACCTTGTTTTTATGTCGCATCATATTATTAATTTGTAAAACCGAATGCATAATAATGATTTTCTCTTTGTTTCCAGGACCGAACGGATGTCCACGAAGGCGGGGCCGACAGACTTACACAAGGTTCCAAACACTAGAACTAGAAAAGGAATTCCACTTCAACCATTATCTGACACGCCGACGCAGGATAGAGATAGCACACGCGCTCTGTCTTACAGAGAGACAGATCAAAATATGGTTCCAGAATCGACGCATGAAGTTAAAGAAAGAGCTGCGGGCTGTGAAAGAGATCAATGAGCAAGCCCGCCGAGACAGAGAGGAACAAGAGAGAATGAAACAGCAACAGCAGGAGAAGCAAGCCAAGCTGGAGAACCAGCATCACGGGCACCACGTGACCCACCATCACGACCCGATGAAGATGCCCATCGACAAGGGCTCCAACGACCTACTCAAAGTGAACAAGGTCCCTACGTAAGGCGTCAGCGACGCCATATAGGAAATCTTGACTGATTCTGTATCATATAGTGTGAGAGGAAGTGTTACGTCCATACGGACCTGCGGGCGTTAGTCGATTCGTATCCACTAGTTTTATGTTTTCGCGTCGGAGTCGTCCTCGTTGTGGAGAACGGCGTCCCGGTTTATGTAATAATGTTCCTTTAGTGCGAAGGACTTGCCTCGGTGTCATTCGCTGGGTGGACAGTCTGGTGATGTGCTTTAAGCATTTATTTTGTTGCCATAACCACACCTTATATTGCAATAATATTTTACTAAAATATACAAAAACGTGTTAGAATCGCTCTAAGGTTTATAGGAGCCCGAGTGAACTTCGGTATTGTTAGTTAAGATTTTAAATCTGTGAATCTCATAGTATTTATTGCTACCACTTACTCTTAATCCATTATGTTATATTTTTATTAATAGATATTATATTATGTACATTTTGATGTATATTTTATTATTTGTCCGCTTTTAGCGGACTGGTTATGTTTTGATGGTCACATTTTTTTTATGATTGTAAAATTTGTTGTATTTTATCAGTTGATTTGGAAAGAGTTACTTTTTTATTTTTCTTTTTGACCAGATTGTGATTCACTTCGGTAGTTTTAGTACACAAATTGTTGTTTTGGTTTGATCCGTTGAATTCGATAGAATAATGTTATCGACAAATATTAAAATACCTGCATAGCTAATTCCATAAGAACTTAAAATGTATATTTATAACAAAATACGTATGGAAGTACAATTTCAAATAGATCTTCGTCGTAACGAGCGTTGTGTTTTATATTTTCGTCTTCAATAATTATGGATATTAAATGTAGACGGTATTTTTTGATAATTCTAGTTAAAAATACCTTGTCCATAAAGTAAATAGCAAACAAATAAGAACAAGATTATGGATTAGTACTGCACATGGCGTGTTGTCCATACATCCCAAGTCATCTGATGTTCAAAATTATATACGTAACGATGATACATATAATAAATTACAATAATGTGACTAAATATAAATTTTACACGTAATATTAAAAGTTGAGTAGTTTAAGTGTATTATACATAGGTAAATAGGTTCGACTTTATATGAAGTATTTGCTAAGACTAGGTACCTACAACATAAACCAATGTACGTCGGAATAAACAGTGGTCGCACTTTATCAGGCGAAAAGTCAATGTCTTCAAGTTCCTTTTTTCCAACGAAAGTTATAAAAGCACCGTTTCACGTACGAAACGGTGGCGAAATTATGTTTCCTGCAATTTTACGTAGCCATATGCACATTTGAATTTTCCAGCTCCGTAATTTCATACATAAAATACCTACAAAAGGTATTACTAGGAGCTAAGGAGCTCGGATGAAACTCAGAAATGTACACGGACTTTTTTCGCGAAAACGCGAGCTTGTTTAACATAGCTGGTTTACAAATTATTCCACACACCATATTCGCTTTCAATTCCACGTTGTGCCAAAATACATAATTAAAATAATTTATTAACACGAACATTGAAATATTTGTTCCGCGTCCAAAAAACATGTTTTAAAAATTCTTCGTTCTTCAACTCTATACGTAATAACTGAGCAAAATTAGAATTTTAAAAATTAGTCTTGATAGTCACCATTATACGTAAATTAATGTCAGGGTAGAATTAAAAAGGTAAATTAATAGATAACTGTATTAAAATTGGAGTCTTCGCTTAATTTTTATAAAAACACTATTTCTCTCTTTCAAAATCTGTCCACTGTGTTTTTTCTGAAAAATGTATCTATAACTGTAGGTTCTGTAAAAGAAACATAAATTGTATGTCGTGAAATCATTAGAAAGATTTAAGTCGTCGATGGATAAGAATAAGTCGAGAAAACTTGTACTTACAGAAATTAATATAAAAATAAATAAGGTACTGGTCGAAAATTTTTGACGTTTGTCATTGAAACTAAAACGAGTTTACTCAATTCATTTACCACAGACAGTTGTCACATTAAAATGGCGATAAAACATATTCCACCTGTTTAATAACGTTACTATAAAAAAAGAAAAATATTTACAATTTTAAAACAGGAAAATTTTATGTACAAAAACAAAAAAATAAATAAAATAGCCTTTACAACTTGACACGTTTTCTCGATATAATCTCGACGACTTTAATACATTGGTTTTTTGTAACTAATAAATCTCTATGAATGTCGTGCACGTAAAGCAATGGATACGTAGTTAGATTATGAGATTTTTATATTGATTTCCATTAAACTTACTCTAGTGCGAGTGCAATAACTTCAAACCCACATTATTTCATTAAATTCGTAGTCCCGTTAAGATTGCATACATATTAAGGTTGTCGTTAGTAATATAACTTTATCCCATCTTATTTTTAAATATATATTTAAAAAATCGAGAAGGAAAATCGAACAAAATGTACTTAAGTAACTTCGATTTAAGTAGGCTTTATAAATTATAAAACGCATAGTTATTAAAATATCGTAGACACTTGTAATAAAAGTTAAGCGTAAATCCGATGATTAGTACTTGAATGAATATAAACGCTTAAAAATTATTTAGTATCGTTCGTAGATGGTCATTTGGAAGGTGAATGGGAAAGCTTCATTGTTAAGGGACGTACACACTGCAAAACTGATACGAGGTTGACATTTCATAACTACACAAAGTGTGTATACGAATTAAATTGTTGTTTCTACATTTTGTGAACTAGTATTAGTTGTTTTGTCAGTTTTTGGTTATTGTATGGGACTGTGCAAATAGACAAGTTTGAAGTGTCAAGCATCTTCCTCTTAACTAAGTTTCGTATAACAATAGGTAAATGTTTGTAACATAGTAATGATATTCGTGTGTGTATGTACGTCCGATGATTTATGTCAGGTACACTTTATTGTTTATGCCTCGTAAAGAATTGTAATCTACAGTGAAACAATGAGCAATTTGCTAAATAGATTATATATGTCCTCCATCCATAATGCTGTCTTGCCATATTGCTAGTGTTTTGTAGACTGTAGGTATTATACCTAACCGAACATTATATATCAATATTAATATTAATTAATGTATCATCTCACATTAGGTTATCACGTCTTTTCTCAATTTAATTACAAAATTTTCGTCCTTACTTCGATTTGTCGACTCTGTTATGTTATTTTTAATCTTTGTTGCGTTGTCCAAGTTATAGTATTTCCATTTTCTATGTTTTCTTTTAATTTTACGATAACAAGACTTCCTTTTATTAGTTTTTATTCTAAAAACGATCAATTTTTATCTTTAATATAAATGTAGCTATGTATCTATGTACCTATATCTATATTTTTGAATATAGTTATTAAATCGTCTTAAAGTTAAGTAACTGTAAATAGTCGTGAAAGTTTTACGTGGCGCATTATTTTTTGTTTATATTTTTTTTGTTTTATGTTATGTATTTATGTATTGAGATGTGTCGTATGCCTGTGCAATTTGACCATGTTAAGGATACCCGATACCTTGTAAGCACTATTGTGTGCAGGGTTCAAGATTATTTGGTCTTTTCGACATGGTTGTGAGTCGTAAGCGACTGTTACGAAAAGGTCTAATTGAATTGGATGTTGTGGAAATCGTTTTCATATCTGATATAACTTGAACTGTAATTGAGTACACTGGTAGTCCAAGTTAACGTGGTCAAGTGTGAGCTAATGGTACGATTTAACGTGACTGTGTCGTGTTATATAAGCAAATAGTTGGGTGATTGTATATGAAGCCCGCATTCAATATTGTAATATTAATTTCAAAAATTCAAGAGAATAAAGAGTTAATAAAAGTATGGCTTTTTGATTTTTGCTATGTAGAATCCCATGAACCATGATTTTTATACTTAAGAATTATGAAATTAAATTACAAACATGAAGTACGTAAAAACATTTTAAATTGAGTAGAAATGTACCTAATTCTATTACTGATATTTATAAATAATATAAACGTATTACAAAATGCAAAAAACTGCTTTCATTTCGAATAAAACCTACCGTCCTCATCCTATAAAAGTACACGCAGTTTATAATGAGTGTTACAAGATATCGTCACATTTTACATACATATATGATCAGAAAGCGTGGGTTTAAGGAAATACTAATAGCATAAACATTAATAAACTAATCACAATAAATGATCTAGAGATCCGTGATCACAATAAGAGACCTTGGTAATCCAATCCTGGCTAATTAACCTCAATATTACTTCATTAGGTATTACATACTTTAATATATAAGCTTATACGTTTAAGAATCAAAGTTCAATAGTTAATACAAAATTAATATTAAAAGTTGCTAATTCATACAATAAATCTTTCCTCTATATAATATTAGTGTAGATAAGAGACACATAAATGTTTCATAAATGTCTAATGAATAGGATAATAGGAAAAAATAATTAAGATATAAAGACGACTTGATTTAATCGCCTATAGAATTTGATAGCTTTTACGTTATAATAACTAAAAACTATTTTACCTATTATTAATTTAGTATCTTCAAATGATTTAGGCAATCATGTAAAGCATTAAGGAATACTTGCTCAGTATCGAAATAATACTACTGGCATACCCCAAGGCTCAATACTGGGACCAGTGCAGTTACAGTTATTTAAATATTAACAATTTATTTAGATCGTATCTTAGCTAGAATCTAAGATGAATAAAGATAATCAGCAACCCAAAAATTTAATTTGAAAGATATCGTAGAAAAAGTATTATTAGGTATATGGAAATGACTCTAAATCAGGTTTTATAAAAATAGCTCTCAAGTTAGGTTCATACTATTTTATAAATGTTTATTCAAAATATATTAAACATTATAATTAGAAACATTCAACGACTAAAACGATTCAAGTATGAAACAAGGTTAAGCAACAAAATTAATATAATTTGGTTTACCTACTTCAAATTTAAATTCATTTATTTGCAAGAATACATGTTTTAGAAAGGAAGATCTTACAGCCTAAAAGTCATTGTATTCTGCCTGCGAGCAAGCGTAGGTACAGAGCATCAACATCCCAAATTATAGTCACCATTATAGAAAACATAAAAACAATAATTAAATTCATACCATAGGTAGTCATTAATCATGCGGGAGCAGTCATTCGATGATTTTCCACCCTTAAAAAAAAGACATATTACATTATAGTTGTAAATTTTAAAATAGAAGATTTATTATTACAGTAATTAGTGAAAAAGAAAAAAAATATTATATTATGTTATATTCCATAAATTCCTTATAGGAGCAACGGAGTTAGCATTTTAACTTCACAAAAACTTCTAAAAGTCCCAGATTTTTAGATTATAGTATCAAACTTTTCTTATTTTCTAAATTCCTTTGTCAATTCTGTGAACAGACGCTGTGATCAAAAGCTGTGTTACGTCATATGAATTCCTAGAGTTGGCATTTAATAGATTGATAGATAATTATATATATCGGGGAGAAGTAACCGCAAATGTCTTAGTCACACATTGCAAGACTAGTTCGAAACTAGATACAGTATTATGGTTATAAATCACTGCACTAGGTCCAAAGTTTCTATATTGTCCAATCAAAGAAAGGTAAACTATGATTATTTTATCTGTATGTAGGTAAGAAACAAATATCTTAAGTTGGGTGACTAATACGGTTGATAAAAATTTAGGAACGGGTGGGAATGTATTCCTACGCCCCGAATAACAAAGTAACTATAAACAAATTTACAAAAATATAATAATAAATATTATATAACAAATATTTATCTATATTATATATATCCAGTTATTTATTTAATTTTTGAGACAGTGTAAAGTTCAACAAGTCCACTAGTTTTGAATAAATTAACCAATTGCATATTTTGTAAAAAAAATTGCCAAGAAAATTAGTTCTACATATTTTGTCCATTTCAACAACCTGATACGTTGGTTGTATTTTTTATTAAGTATATTTTTTTTTCGTTAAATTTAATAGGTTTTTTAACCTTGTTCTTTCTCGTGTCGCACCACTTATGATAATATTAATTTCCCACCGTAACTATCTAGCCCACTGTCGGCTACAACATTCTCTGTCTCATATATTACCAATAAGGAAGAAAAAACATAACCCCTAATAGTTAAATGGCCCTAAATATCAATAACGTTTGTCGGATCCCCGCCAAAAACAAACCATGAGTTATGTCCATAATGTATTCTGCCATTCCGCCATTTTCCATTCTCCACAGACACTGGGGCTGTCAAATAAATTTCAGACCTACAGAATTCACAATAGGTGGGACCGATCCATGCTGGACTGAAAATCGCTAAGCACGCCACTCTTATTTTAATACAAAAACTACTGGCGAACGTGCCGAATTGCAAGCGAATGTAGACTTAACATGCTAAACAATTTTTTACGTCGACCTTTCATCTGATACTTTGCCTTTATAGTTTTTGTCGATAGTTTTTTTTCGAGTGCTATCTTTGACATTACCTTAATGGCACCCGGTATCTGTTAGAGCGATCGTAGCAAATTCTAATGGCTATTAAAGACCGCTAAAATAACAAGTAACTGCCAAAACAAATTCAGTTGCTGTTAGATTAACTTTTATGGATTTTTAGATTCCTTAAAGGTCGTAGATTGTTCGATACTTAAAGAAAATTGTTAAGAAAAGTAACGTTACAATGTTATACATTGTGCGCTCACACGTTAATAGGTACTTTATATGTAGGTAGGTAAAGTATAATAAGTAATACAACCCCATCCAACGATTGTTTAAGACTTGTACTGGAAAATGTGTTAGGAAATTGACTATTTAATGGGGTAGACGACTAATTTTTATTTTAATGTCCGTCTGGTAGATTATTTAAAAACATTAGACACGTATTTTTTATTTTCTTACGGAAACGAATAGTTTCGAAGATATATTGATTTGAAATGTCGCGTGACGTCACTTCTCAGTACATTTTATACTAAGAAATGACGTTTTAGCCCCCACTCCTAAACTTTGATTCGTTTTATCTAAGTATTGTTTCATTATACGACAAAATAAAAAAATACGTGTCTAATATTTTTTAATTACCTAACTTACGGACTAATTATATTTTTAATTTTCATACCCTGTCATCTTCCCCATTATAGGTAATGAAATCGAGTGCATTCAAATATAGACAGACAATGTTTTATGAAGTTATGTATGACTACAAAGGTAAAACGTTTGTAAATAAATCAAATAGACATAAAATGTATCACATAATAATAGATATGAATAATGTCCAGTTTGCCCTTATAATTTGAACTTTATACAGCTGTAAAATAAATACATAATGTATTAAATTCGGTTATATATGGAAATTGTTGGAATCCTATTCACTGGTCGGCGATTAAATGCCGATGCGTTGCTGATGGCATAGCCTGGGCCAATTTCATGGTCTAACGCTTCCACCCTGCATCGAAATCACTCACTACGTAACACAAATTTACCTTTATTTCTATTGCTATCAAACTGCTATTAATTATTGCAAAAAATTCTGACAAAAAATGGCTACCAGTGCTTTACTAATTGCAATCGGATATAACATCTTAATAAACTTAAATTAGTGTATTCGTCGGTCGATTAGTAATCATTTTAAATACTGTATAATCTCTTGTAAAATCAAATTAAAATTTATGATGGATCGTAAAATAAAATGACGGTTTGATTGCGAAATGTTTCTTTCAACAACATACGTAGTGGGTGCCATTTGAATTGAACATGGCGACTGCGATCCGCTTGCAAACTATTCCGGACGCGATAGAAAACTCCATCCTTTTATTTTATTCTCTTCTCTGTTTTATTCTATTGAGAAAATTGTTTCGGTTAACTATGGCAACTGACTATTTTTAAGATTTTGTAAACTCAATTCACGATTGTATTAGCCTTACATATTGATGAAACAATATCGACATGAAGTGAAAGTTTTTTTTGTATATAACTTTTTTCAATGCGTCCCGATTAAATGAAACTAGAAATAATTAAAAAAAAACTCAGACAGTCTAATAATAACTCAATTAAAAGATAGAAAATGGCCATTTAAGTTCAACGATCTCACAGTATACTCATGGGACGGGATTATGCATAACAATTGGACACGAACTCAACACATTTCCGTTCCATTCCTTCCTTATACTATGTTGCACAAATTCTCAACATTATCTTTAACGTTCCTTATTAGATAATCCACATTCTGCCCGGAACGCTGGCCATTATTTTTATTTCCCGTTAATAACGTTAACCCCGGCCAATTTTGTTAATGAGAAAATTTTCTCCTTTCTCCTCTGTTAATCTTTCTGTATCTTCTTTGTATTGGATGTGACAAAATAATTTCACAGATGACTGATACAATTTCTTTTAAATTGTTATTTTATTTAGTCTCCTAACATTGACTATCTTATTAATGTTTATGAAAAGTTACTGCCTGTACAATCTTAAGTGTAAATGTTTTCAAAAGAGACAGAGGTTCTAGAAAATCGTCCTTTTTCA